GTCAAATTGGTCCTCTTATACTACAAGCTGGGAGGAAGTGACAGATATACAAATGTATGTGTAAGAATTAGGAGAGTAGAATTTACAGAAAAACACTCCTGGTCCCGGGCCGGGGTTAGAACCCACACCAAACCCGGGCACCAGCTTCAAACCCAACGCTCCCACCGATTTGGCTAAAAGGTGTAGACCCCTCACAGGATCAATTGGTAGCGCCAGTATAAACCCCCCACTGTTATATATGTCATAAGTAATTTGAAAGAAACCATGCTCTTATATTCCTCATTATATGAAATGACATTTATGGAGATAAGATGGACTAATTTGTCATTGTATACCGGTATCACGCTGAGACTATGGCATATTTATGACCCATAATCACAAAACAAATTACGTTTCATTATAAGTGTATAGAATATGATGGTATATAGAATGAATAGAACACATGTTGTATAGAATATCTGCAACAGAAGACTTTAGTGTGCATTGATGGTTGCCAGCTTCTGCCTTTGTCTGAAATTGAAATGTACCATTGAAAAATGTAATTTTGCCTAAGCTAAAATATCTGTCAACTTCCAAATTGAAAACTTCTGGCAACCCAAAGAAAGCCTTAGAACATGAATTATGTTTACCGAAGGAAAACATATTGTTTTTGCTCAGTTTCTTCTTCTTCCCCAAACATACAGTGACCTCAATGACCTGAACCAATGTTGTGTCTGTTACCATGGTAACTAGTATTAGGTTACATCATCATCATGTTGCAATTTAATAGCACGAGGGATTTAGACTGCTGTCTGACCATTTGTATATATGGATGTGTTTGAGTAAGAATTAACAGAGCATACCATATGCAAAGGTAAGCATTATGCATTTGCCTTGCAAATGTAACCTTTTCTAGTTTTTGTCCGTAATTTTTTTCTTCCACACCCACATACTAAGTATACAGTATATTCTGTAACAAAAGTGTCCACAAACATATTATTCAGTAAACAAGCCTTATCCATTTGTAGATCTAGATAGGCTTGTCCTAGGGGATGGTTTACCCTATATACACTTGAGACAGAGGTGATAGGCTTTCCAGATGTCCATAACTCAGTGAGACAAGTTGCTTGACTTGCTTTTATCTTTAGTTTGCTAACAGTTCATTCATCAAACAATATTGTAATTGTATCAACTAGTACTAGTAGTAGCCTGCATTTAAAGGTGAGTGCCATGTACGTATACATGTACTACTCTTGCTTCCATGATACATTGTTTCTTATCATGACTTAGGTGCTATATGGTTTAACTCGAACAAATTCTTGGTCAGTGGCAAGATCCCCCCTCCCCATACCCTTTTGCTGACCTCTCCTTTTTCTGTTCTTCTTTTCTGTTGCTCAGTGTGTGTATAAAAGATGAAATCTGTACTAATGTGTACTAATATAATTGTACAATGTACAAATGTACTTGTTGGATCTTAAATTACATGTAGTTATAATTACACACATTATATTGTTTTAGCATAGTACCGGTAGGTCTCACTGTGGGTTCTACATGTTCACTATTCTACATGTAGTAAATATTTGCCAGGTGTGAACTCTTAAATTCAAGTTTCACAATTTGTGCAAATAGAATATGGAGTGTTGTTTATGTCATAAATATTCTAACTTTTTAAAACTGTTATCTACACATGTAGCTAGGGTACTACCACCAATTTAACCCTCTTGCATCAAAGGTTGCCTTCTGTGCTAAATTTGTATGGGGTTCTGGTGTAAGGCAGCAGGAGTAAGGTTAAACTTTAAACCATGAGTGTTAAGTACAGTTCAAACCTGTCCAGCTGCCACTAATCATGATCTATCAACATGTAGTCATTGTGCTTTGTCATGAGGAATTTAACCTCAAGTTCATCTCAGGAAGTATCATTTATTATTATCCTACCTCAAGGTCAAGCAGTGACCTTGTTCCTGTGGTTTCCATGGTAATATGTTTCCTGACTGGTTGCCGTAAAATTTCACAGGCGTGCGGTAGGGGGAAATAACAGGGTAGTGTTCGCTGTGTAGTGGTCTTCCTGTGCCAAATACTAGTACTCCTTTGGCCACACCAATTTAATTTGTTGGTTCTCGGATTCACCTCTTAATTTTTTTCTGATTTGCAAAAAAAAAAAAAATTCTGGTTCTGAATCAACCCAAATGTGCTCATATTTTGCCTCTAACAGTTGAGGAAAGTTATTTTCTTCCTTGTTACTCCGTGAAGGAGGTCAGGACCTCCGGACGGAGTGTTGTAATCGGCTGATTTTTCATGTTCGCAGTCAAAACACTGGGTTCTCTTTGTGTAATCGGCACGCAATTTTATACGCCGTCTGCGGGCATGCCCGTGTTGATGCACGAATGTGTATTTTTGCCGTTGCTGCTTTCGCGGTCAATGTAATATCGCAGACGCACCCCTACAATTACGAGGCGAATTGGAATGGTCCAGAAAAACGCGTTGTTTGGAATAGCAGTGGGGTTCAAAAAAGTTCATGCAGATACGGGGTGGTTTTTATAAGTGGTTCCAGATGTTTTTGCCCATGGTTAAGAGATGCCAAGTTTTTTGGAAGATGTTCGCAGCCAAAACGCATTCTTCCGTATGTCGCATTTCTGTGTAATTTCGCATGTGGTGTTGCATTATGTCCGGGATGATGCACGTCTTTTTATTTTTACCGTAGCTGTTTTGATATTGGAGTAAATGCTTATTTTCGAAACATCCCCATTTCTTTGAAATGGTTTCGTCCGTTTATGCAACTGTTACTGCGCTAATGACGACCAGTCGCGCTGTCCTGATACACCGCGAATGTGCGAGTGTTCCCTGTAGACAGTCCCGGGAGTCATTTTTTTGCACATTCCAGGAGCCAAACCAAAATACGTTCATGAACCGAGTCCAAAAAACCGAAACGTGAAAATCGGATGATAGGACCTGATGTACATTTCTCTTTCTATAGATTGTACACACAATACACACATCTTTAGATAATCTGGCCATGGCAGGTTAAAAAAAAGTAACCCTGAATCATACTAGATTAGCGTAAATGCATGTTAATGCGTTCAAAACAAGAAAAAATTGTTTCCGGGTATTAATCTCTTGAATCACGGCGCTGAATATTGACGCAAAAATATTTCGGGCATCGCGCGCCCTTCCCGCGTCACGTGTAGGCATCTCGCATCTCTGATTGGTTGTTGCGTCTTAAGATGACTGAGCCGACGCGCGTTTAAACAATTTTTCTTTGTTCGATTTATCACACTTCACAGAGAATTGTCGCCAATGGCTACTTCTTTTTGTTGCAATATATAATACTTCACAGAGAATTGTCGCCTATGGCTTCTTGTTGTTACAGTTTCAATGCAGTGGTTTGATTAAAAGTTCAAAATTCTTCGTTCAAATAATTATGGATCCAGCCATTTGTGTTGACTCCATGGCTCCTATAGTATTGTTGCATTTGGGGCTATAATAGAATGCCCAACACTGTTTTTATTTTTTCGCCCTGTTGCTTCATATTTTTTTCTGGCAAAATCCAAGAACCAACAAATTAAACACTGACTTAATTTTAGGATGACATCCACTGAAGACCCCCATTCTAGTGGGCGTGGGCGAATTAAAATCCGGCCCAAAAAATGTTGCTAAACGTAAACCACACTGACAGGAATATTTAGCTGGTATTTTGAATTTGCGGCCGGTAGGGCCTCCGAAAAAAAATGTTGTGTTTCCTGTTTCAGTCCTGAAAAAATTTAGGGTCAGGAGGTAGGGATTATCTTTTTTCTTTCTTTTTTTTGTAACTTTGGCAATCTCTAGTGGTCCAATGTACTGACAGTTTAACGAAGTAAAACTTGCATGCGGACACTTCTATTTTCAATGTCAATACTGGAAAACTGATTGTACAAGGTTCATCACTCAGGTGTCAGATCATGGACCTAGAAAAGGTTGATCGGCTCGAAAAATTTATGTCCCTTGCAGGGGTCCACACACAAAAAAGGCTAGGGTTGGCAGTTTTTTGTAGGGTCGGTCAGGAAACAGAAAACACAACATCTTTTTTCCTAGGCCAAGTACATGTACATAGCAAATTTTACGACAAGCAGGCACACATTTTTTTTTGAGAACAGGCAAAAATCAATGCGCGTGCGGATGTCATCCATAAAATTAAATCAGTGTCGCCTAACAGGGCTGTGTTTGGCGGTGTAGTGGTATTCCTGTGCCAAATACTCTTTACAGAGTTCTGAGGGTCATTCAGGATGTAATTGGAATGTGGGTTGTTCTATGGAAAACTTGTCTAAAGCACTTTCCCAGGCTATAAGTTAATTTGGAAAGTAAAGACTGATTGTAGGTCTGTTGTAGCTGGTAGTTTGAACCCTTGGGAACTGTTTGGCCTAGAACTTAGTAGAAGTACAAAATGTATTTTGTGTCTCAGGGCTTATATGGATGATATTTGTCTGTAACTTGCACACCAAAAAATTGAAGATTGCAGGTTAAACCAGTTGCACTTTTGCAGGTTAAGAAGAATTCAAGTTCTATATAATAAAATCACAAGTTAGGTTGTGAGTGTACCACCTACATTGGCAGTGGTTTCTGAATACTTTTTAATATGTCATCCATATCCCCCTGTACTTGCCCGAATGGGTAAATTTTTGGGATGTGGCATTATGCCCCAGTGTATGGAGCAGAATCACTCATTTTCCCATAATGTATTCCCAAAATATCTTATTGATGTCAGTCAAAAGTAGGACTTTTTGTCTGAGAATCATTTGCAAGTCTGAAACCTCCTTACTTTGGGAAATACTGGTCAAGTATAAATTTGCTTTTTTACTGAAAAAATTAATTTCAATGCAATAAAAATGCATAGCAGTATTCATTTTTATTTTGCATTGGGCAAGTGATCATGAAAAGTTGGTTCGGGCAAGTAGAAATGACCACGTGCTTGCCCGATAGGGCAAGTGGATTTTTGAAAAGTTGTCCAACCCTGTCTTGTTTGACACCATCTTCCTTCGCTGTTCCAGACCGCTGACCATGCCGTGATGACTGACCCCAGCGCGATCTGACCCATCCTGGTTGCTACGGCAACATGGCGGATGCAGACTTTTTGGATCTAGATGACCTTGACCTTCTAGATGACCATCAGGTAAGCAACTGGTGAATTCTCCAGAATCAGTGGTCTAAAAATGAAGACACTGTGTAGCAGTGCCTCCTGTCAGGCACATTGGGAACTGCAGCAGCTATAAATATACAATGATTCTACTTATCAAAACTTGTCATCATTAGCAGTAACAAAGGTACATTAATGTTGTCATATCTGGATCTTGTAACGGAAAGGGTAACCTGTCCAAATCCGTTCTTTAGACAAAAGAGACTATATTTTTCTCATCTCCACACATTTTATGATATGACAAATTC